ATGATGACGATGATGATGATGATGATGATGATGACGATGATGATGATGATGATGATGATTATTCGTATGATAATGATGATGATGATTATGATGATGATGATGATGTTGATGATGATGACGGTGATGATGATGATGATTCGGGTGATGATCATGATGATGATATTAATGATGACGATGATGATGATGATGATGATGATCTTGATGATGATGATGTTGATGATGACGATGATGATGATGATGATGATGATTATGATGATGATGATGAAGATAAATCGGATGATGTTGATGATGATGATGATGATGATGAATAAATTGATTATTCTAATGATGATGTTGATTATGTTTTCGATGGTGATGATGTTGATTTTGATGATGATGATGTTGATTATGATGATTTTGATGATGATGCTGATGATGTTGATGATGATGTGGATGATGATGATGCTGTTGATTTTGATGATGATGCTATTGAAAATTATGCTCATGAGGGCACATCTGTTGTTTAACGCATTAAGTAGCATCATGAACAAAACCTCGCTCGCTTCTTCCGGTTGAAAAATTATGTATGTCGTCTAGGATAATCGACCTAAAACAGCGGTTGGTTATGAAGCTATATCTGGAGCTCAGCGCAATTATGAGCATGACACCCGGCTTCCCAATTCTTTGGCTTCTCGTAGGGAAATGATAAAGTAGAAAAATGATGGTTCTCGAATCGCCTGATCCATTAGAAGAAGCCACTTTGCATTAGCGGTCGAAAGTAGGCGTTGAGTTCAACATGTTCATCTTCAGCTGTGAGCAACGCAGCGGAAGACTCGTCTACCAATGGCCATCGCTACCATTGGAAAAGTTATGTGTCTCGCATCTTCAATCGGACAGGGGGAGCGGTTCGTCTTTGCACATGCGTCTCCAGTTGAGCGCAAAGTGGAGCAAGACAAACCGAACTACGCCCTTGGCTCCCGGTAGAAAAATGATGTATCTCGACTCGCATGAGCCAAAGANGCGCAGTTTCTTTCAAAAAGTAAACCTGGAGCTGAGCGCAATGGAGACCGAGACAATCCTTCCCACGGCCGTGGCTTCCAGTAGATAAATGATGTATCTTCGTTCGCATAAGCAATCGAAAGAAGCCGTTTGTTTCAACACGTACATCTTCAGCTGTGACCAACGAAGCGGGAGACTCGTCTCCCTATATTTATCGCTATAACTCGCTGTATAACGCTATATATTTCTCCATCTATCTATCCATCTATCTATCTACCTATTCGTCGATGTGTGTATTTAGCTATATGTCAATCTATCAATCTATATATCTGTCTATCGTCTATCTTTCTATCTATCTTTCCATTTTTCTATCAAATAAATCAACATTTATCTGTCTAAGCATCTCCATATTTATCTATCTATCCAGCTATCTATCTCTATATGTATTTATCTCTCTCAATATCTATCTATCTATCTATCTATCTATCTATCTATCTATCTATCTGTTTATCTATCTATGTATCAATCTATCTATGTATCTTTACATCTATCCATCTGACTAGCTATCGAATTTTTGTCTGTCTATTTACTTATTTATCTCTCTACCTATGTTTCTAACTGTCTATCTATCTATCCATCTATCTATCTATCTATCTGTTTATCTTCCTAACATTCTCTCTATGTATCCACCTATTTCACCTTGTATCTATCTATCTACAAATCTATCTATTTATCTATCTGTTTAGATATCTACCTTTCTATAAAACTATTTCTCTATCTATATACTTATCCATCAATCGATTTGTGTATCTTTCCATCTCTCTATCCATCTTTCTATCTGTCAGTTTATCTGCCTATCGATCTGTTTTTCTATCTTTCTTTTTGTATCTTTTTATCCATTTGTCAACCCGTATATTAATCCATAGTTCGATGGATCGCTTGATGGGTAAATATTTCGTGAACCTGGAAAGGGTTCTCCTTTGATATCTGGTGCCATCTCCGCTCATCTCTCAACTCAAGTTGGGTATGAATTCCTGATTTTATTA